TTGCCTTTTATTGTTTGCTCCATATGGCTCTCCAAACTTTATCCGACACCTTTCTTTCCATTTATTGAGGTGAATTTCTTGAATTTTAATATTTTATTTCCATTTAATAATTTTAATTTTAGAATTTAATTTTATTTCATGAAAAGCAACGATATTCTAATGTTTCATAAAATTAAGTAGTAAATTTGTATGAATTAAAAGAATTGACATGATGAATTATTGTATTCACACCTAATGTATTAACAAAAGAGTAGGATTTTTTATGGAGCAGTGCCATGCATGAACTAATTAAAGGATTTAATTCTTTAATTAGTTGATCAAATTAAGCCCCTAATTAGTTCATCAACTCCATACATGGCATTGCTCCATAAAATATTAGGCGGGGTTTGGGCTTTTAGGCCCAAACTTAATTACGTGGCTAGTCGGTGTAGGGAAGGGACGTGGTCTACTCTGCTGATCAACGTCTTGTGGCGCAAACTCCTGAGTGGAATCCACCTCCCAGATTGGATTCTCAACTACCTAACAACTGTTCTCTCTCTCAAGTCTCAAACCCCCCGCCCACTGTCGGAGACGAAGGGTCATTTCTTGGATCTTCACTGCAAAGGGTCAAAGACCCGTTCAGCACACCACTCCAGGTACTAGCTACAGGTAATTTCTCCAAAATTACTTTACTCTGTCTCTATCCTTCTTTGGACATCAAAAAGTTACACGCAAAATCTGCTGACCCATTGGAGTTTTTTGATGGCTAGTAGTTACTTTTCTCTCATGATGTAGCTGTAATTAACCAAGTGCTGGTGTTTTGAAATTGGTATTTGTGGGTTTTGGTGATTCTTAGTTTGTAATGGGCACTCTTTGCACTTTTATTTGGTGCCTAATGCTGATAAGGGAAAAAAGTTCGGCTCTTTTATCTGCATACTGCCCCAATTATGTAGGGAGCTATTGCTCTGACAGCTGAGAAGAGTAGTTATGAACTTATGACAGTTTTTTCATCACAGATAAATTCCTTTAAGCATAATTCCCAAATATTGGTAAGTCGTCTGCATTATTTCGAGTATACCCATCTTGAATGTTTTACTCATTTTTTGAATATTTTTGAGAAACTTAATACTTATCAGCAAAATAAATAAATAAATTTCGAGTGTTATAGTTTCAGTTAGTTTTATTTATGTGAACAGTGGCGTTATCAAAAATTTTCTCCGTATTAACTTCCAACGCCTCCTTTGGCTTCACCATCTGTAGGGGCTACCTTATTGTTAACTATTTCTTGAAATTAGTGGGGTTAAGTTCTGCTTGTACTTGAAAGATTGCTTTGGCAAACTCTTCAGTACTTATTTCTCACCACATAGGTTCATCTGGATCAAATACTGAGGTTTTGGTTATCCTCCAGATTTAGGTAGTTTTTGTTCCTAGTTCATTTATTATATTGCTGCAATTGCAATCTTTGTCACTTGTTCTCGTCTTGTAATTAATTTTTCTAGCTGTTCTTTAGTGTGGTTGTTTTTTTGGTTTTTGATTGTCTTATCAAGTTTCTTTTCTATTTTCTTAATATTTCATTTTTTAGTACCATATTGTGGAGAAAATCAAGTTCCTTATTTCAATTCTTTATTTTTCTTTAGATTATTTTCTTAACTTATTCTTATATCTGACTGAATTATTTTTAAGATATTATATTTAACACCTTGTTTTGTTTCCCTGTTGATTTGCTTATAACATCTTTCAAATTAGTACTGATTATATTCAAATTTTTATACTTTCAGTTATTTTTGGGACTTGCTTTTATTTTAAACTTTTCTACACTGATAAAATATAGTTAATTATTATCCCAGTTTATTTTTGGGGCCAAATCTCTTTTTGTCAACCAAATATTAACCTATAATCAGCTATACTTTGAAGTTCAGATGCATAGTTTCTAAAACTTAAGGGGCTGCTGAGTTGGAACTTAGGCTTAAAAGTTGTGATTGAAGTACACGACTCATTTGCAGTTCAGAATAAATTAGAGTCTAGGTCAGTTAAGCAACTCCTTGAGCATTTGTGGATAGTAGGCGACGCTGTCTCATCAGTGAATGTGTGGGTTAAGGTTGCAGTATCATCCATTGACTCAGCGAAATACAATGGCCCCGGTATCGCGGAATGGTTTTGCGCGATACACATGAAATACTTGATCGAATAAGAATTTGGACATATGGGACATTCAGGTCATATCGTGGCATGTTGGAAGGGTATTAGAGGAGATGCTACAAGTCGTTGAGAAGGTTCTAGATCTTGTAGCAATGTATCATGACCAGATTCGAGCAGACCAAGCTGAATTCAGTTTGTTTGATGTAGAATCTAGCTAATCTGAGAATTGGACTGAGTTCAAGCTTGACTTGATTCGTTTACATGCCTAACCACCATGTCCAAAACCGTATATTTCCTTTCTTTCTTACTCATTAATAAGGTTGCTAAAGGTGCTCGAGAAGACATAAAAGCACTTTTCTTGAACAGGTTCAGAAACATTGGCCACGGGGTAGTTCTGCATATATATTCAATTTGGGTATCTAACCTGCCGAAGATCTGAATGAAGCTTTCTTGGTGAATGGCTGTGGATTTATTACATCATGAGTATGAAATGCAGTTGCTATCCCTTGCTGCATGTGGAAAAGTAGTTCCATGATGATGGATATGGGCTGAAGATGATGTGAGTGTTGAAGATGCCAAATTAAAAAGGACAAAAAAAAGGAAGTAAAATGAAGGACATTGATCAGTATGTCCATTATCAATTATTAATATTTAAACAATGGTTCACTATGTAATGCCATTATGCTCAGATCAGATGTACATGTAAGAACTGTCAGTTTATGCTAACACACATTACTATTATTATTAACTTATTTTCTTTAGATCTTTTTTTATTCCCCAACAGAAGTATTAATGCATATACTTCTAAGCGTCACTCAGTTTGAACTGTAGCATTTAAAATTGAACCATTGAGGTTCTCTCATGCAAATAGTTGTACAATATCCTAGGTAAGTGGTGTACCTTGTGGATGCCTATGTCTGATTGAAATCTATTTCTTAGTTTGGGAACAATAATTCCCTCATGCACGGAGCATTTGAATGACTTATGTATGCATTGGATTCATTATGCTTTCGTAGGCTTTTTCTTTCTTGGATTTGTTTTTGGTAGCTTATGAATTGGAGATTTTCATAAGAAACCATTGCGAATTTGTTTTTTAGTGTGATCAGTACCCGCAACTCAGTGGGTTCTGATCTGGTGTAGACCTTATAACAATTAATCAGTTGGGCCTATGATTGATAGCAGACCTTGATCTTGTTACTAACAAGACTTCTTTGTTTCCGAAAAGTTAATAATGATACAAACAAGAAATGAGTTATTGTTCTTTGGCTTTTTCCTTTTACTTTTTTCTTCTTAGTGGGTGGGGGTTTGGTTTCTGATAATTTCATATATCATTCAGTGCAACGGAATGAGATGTAAGTGACTACAATACTGAAGAGCAGAGCAGTCTATATGTTATGATTGTTATCATTCCATCATATAATTGAATGTTCACGAATTTTTGGTAGCTATGTGGTTGTATTTGTTATTGGGGGTATCTCAATTAGTTAATGTGCTATGAATGTGTATCATATTCAGGGGGTTTTGCAGGGTGGGGATGAAAGGACTCATGTAAAGACCGCAACGGAATTTTTAAAAAATTGATTCTTCATTTCAACATCTATTCATATTTAATACAAACCAAAACTTTACATCTATAGAGAAGATTAAGAGTTACCTCTTAAAGTGTGCTTTTAACGATTTTCAAACTTTCACAAACAACTCTAAATCTTCAAATTTGAATTTAATCTTTATCTCAAGCCTCGCAATTGTTTGGCATCTATCGATATCCACATGAATTGATAAACTTGAAGGATCTACCTCAACTTTTGATGAACTAGTAGAGAGAGAGAATGACGGTGAATTTTTCTTCTGCTAATATTGATCATATCAATCCACCCCCTCTTTGAGGATATTTATAGAGCCTTAGATGACCTCAATCCTAATTTAGGTTTGATTGTAATTATCTCATAATTACATAATGACTCCATTATTAACCATTAAATGTAATTAAGTTTCTAATTAATTCTTAATTAGGTTTTCTCCCCAATTAACTCTTAGTTGGTTTTCTCTCCTTTAACATTCAGTTTCCAATCAACTTTATTGTGTGTGGCGCTATAGGTTCAAGTTTATCTGGTTGTAGAAATTCGATACTAACTTCAATTAGCATCTCAAATTAGAATTTTTTCTAATTTAGTTTGAATTAGAACTCTTCTAATTCTCCCTTTATGAAGAATAATATATTTATACTAATTTTGTTTTTCGAGTTTCTACTAATCATGAGTGACATCTAGCAGCATATCATGATCAACCCTCGGATAAGCATGAAGTAGGTAAAGCACCTATTTTACTATAGTTGCCACGCAATTCAATTTTTCTATCATACAATATTCTAATTGAATTAATAGGGTATAAAATTACTGTCAAACCCTTAGCTCAATCTTATGTTAACGATCTTAGGACTAAGACTCCTAATGATCAATTAGAAACTATTTTCTAATTGTCATTACGCCTTGACCAATGACTCCTTTAGTCACGTCCTAGAAGATCACTTAAGACATTCTCTTTTTTACTAAGGATGATAAATTCCATGTTATATACTCATAAGTCTCATGTATGTCTAACTATGTCCAACGATATAAATTCAAGTCACATGATTAGTATATGAATTTGTTGTATGGTTAAAACATAAAAGTCCATGCACAAGACAACCATGGTGTCTCGGGTCTAAGGATCAATTACATTATTGTGTCCTAAAATTTAACATTGACAGGTATGTATAACTCTATATAAAAAATTTTATGGTATGTATAACTCTATATAAAAAATTTTATGTTAGTCAATAGTCATTTTCAGTGTACTTGTTTTCTAACAAGCACCCACACATCTACTTCAATGTCCCTACATAAGTGACTTGGACGAGTCATCTCATATTAAATATGAGCAAGTATAATGTGTGCTAGTCTATCCAGATCACATAGTAATCCTATGACTAGAACATTTAAGAGTTAAGTATTAAGAAGTATAAGTCTCCTCTTCTCAATACCTTGATAAACTATGTTCTTAACTTATACTATTTGGACTTTATCATGTATGTTAAAATGAAATAAACCACTAACATAATAAATAAACTTGCCCTTTTATTTAATTAAGTAATGAACATTACTAGTACAATTCCAAAATGTCATATATACGATTAGTCTTAGGGCATACTACGAAGCATATAAGAATTAAGAAGCACGTGTCTTAAAGAGGAGCTTGTTTTTGTTGGTTTGGTTTCTGTGCAACATTGCCATGTGGATGATATATTCATAAAGAGAACTTTAGCTTTCTTCGGAATTCCACCACAGAAAGGTTTATGAAATGGTCTTAATGCTTGCTTTATGGCTCTTGGACAGTTGAATGGATTTAGTGCAATGCTGTTCACGCTATTATGGGTTAGAACTACAGCCATTGATGAATCTTCTTTTGAACTCTCTTGACCCTCTGGCTGCGCCATGTTAGCTTCCTGGCATATGGATCCTTTGTTCCCTCTGGAAACTAGCATAGTCATTGTTGGCTTTTAAATCTGACTAATAGTTGAATGGTTTTTTCATAGTTCTTAATTTCGTTACCAAATTAAGAGAGAAAAATATTACAATTAATTTTGTTTTCCTTACATCGAACTTGATCATTTAAATATGGTGAATACCTGGTATTAATTGTTACAGAAACTTCCATTGAATTTTAAAGCTGTTCAAACAAAATGTCAGGAGCTACTCTCAAACAAGTTTGGTTGCTTACAGAATGTTTAGTCTAGGAAAGCTGCTTAGTATTTCACCATTCCTTGCACAGTGCAGAGATGCTGGGAAAATCATTGGCTTCTCCTTTGCTGACCTTTGACTCTACAGCATGCTTCTTCTTTTCTTCTGTGAGTATAATATTTTTACTGCTGTTTAATGCTTTGTGTAAGAACCACGTATAAGTGATTCCATTTTAGTTCCAGTACCATATGACAATCAAGACCATAATTTTGAATCGATTTCCTTCAGAAAACATGGGTGCTTGAATACTATGAATTTGAATTATTTTTTCTTGAAACATGATATTGTTGATACAAATACTCCTTTGGAGTGCTAAAAACAGGAAAATACACTTGTCCAACTTCTAATTTGTGCGCGGGCATGTTTTAGTCTACTGGTGCAATGTGTCCAACTAACTTCCACGAAGCAGACCGATTTGGCCCACAATTGATCTAATTACTGCTAAAAGGTTGGGGCTTCCAGTAGGTTGTTTTTGCCTCAATTACGAGGAGTTCACTACTTAACTGAGAAGGCAATCAAAAACAGAGTTAACAGGAAAAGCATGTTAACGCAGGAGGCAAACACCAACTTCCTCTAAGAAATTTGGAACATTCAACAGCTACCTTTGAGGAATTGGTTCACACAAGCGGTAAGACAACAACTGTTTACTAACCTAGCATCTCCTGAGGATATTAGAGCACTAGGGGGAAAACGTGAATTAGCGCTCAACAACCATAGTTACTGGGATTGTAGGTGCTCCAAGCATCTCACGAACCGGGATCACGAAATAGGGTGGGTTCGTGATCCAAATTGTCAAAATTGCTGATCCCAAATTGTCTTAAATTAAGATTCAGTTTGTACCTTTTATTTTAGTTAATTCTCTGGATGAGAATTACAAAGTGAACCACGGCCAAATATAGCATACCAATTAAGTCTACTCTCATCGCACCGTGTATTGGGAAAAGTAGTGTCTGATTGTGTACATGTTCCAGTACCATGTACCAAATCAACCACAATCGAGGTAGCATTGTCAACAATATTTGCAATGCTAGGGGAAAAATATAAAAGATGATATAGAGGTTTCTTTGGTATGTCAATGGTGCCTTCTGCAGTTAGCCGCCAGAATTGTGTAGCGTGCTTGTGTCTGTTACCTCATCATTACACAAGTCCAGTAAGTATCCAGTTTGTATTGTTTGCTAGCTTGTGCAGGTTGCCTCTTGACAGTGCCATTTTACCATGTAATGTTGTTTGCCTTGAACTCAGCATGAGGTGGGATGCCGAAGTTTTCTCATCTGTCTTAAATGATTACCATAAGCTTCTCTACTTAGTTGCATCTCCGTGGATATTGGATATGCTTAATTGGCATAAATACTTGATTTCTCTCACCAACCTATTGGCTGAGTTTACCCTGTCTGCCTTTTGACTCTGGCTTATATACCCTCCATTTTTTTTCTGTTAAAATCAGGCTACTCTTATACTGTTCTTTTGTGAAATCTGTTTGGTAGGAGGTGTGGAATTGGGGAAGAAAGGGTGACACTCTGCTTCACAGACCCTAAAACTGTGTACTGCTTGAAGGGATGAAAGGGTGGAATGATGTGGAGGTTCAAATTTGGTGTCATACTGAGCGAATTTTGACATTAGAAACAGATTGTTTTATTTGAAATTTAATCACAGAGTTCCAAACATAGCTATTAATATGGCTGAGAAGGAAATGGGCTTTTAAATACGCAAGTAAATATATTTGTCTCAATTTCAAGAATTAGACAGTCTTTCACTATTAGTCTTTCTCTGAAGTGTTTGAAGGTCCATGCAAGTGTAGTAGTTATAATGTCTTTTGCATGAGATTTAAAATTAGGATTTGGTGGTCAAATTAGGAGAAGTTAACATCATCACCAGATAAATATGGTTTCATGTTTGACATCCTGAAACAAATCTTATTTTTTTGCAACTATTTATGAAGAGAAAAATTGTCAAAGACAGTCGTCAATCTTACCATATCACCAACATTCATTGCTATAGAGATGTGACATGATATTCTTTCCATTCTTAGAAGATATCATAGTTGTAGGATATGTAGAATAGGGATCTTAATTGATTCACTTGAGCTATGAGTAGGACATATTGCTGTAATCTTGTGAGGTAATATCCTATTTAAGGAGAAGAGCCTGACCATGAGTCGGCAAAATTTTCCAGCAACTCGTGTTTTTGTTTTGACATGGTATCAGAGCCATTCTCTTCTTTCATTGAATCGTCTTGACATTTTACTGCAATTTCGTTTCATCACGATCTGCCCATCTGACTCAAGTTTCTGATTTTTTTTAGAATCAGAGATAATTCTATTTTTTTTTTCTGAAACTTAATCCTTAGGTGTAAAGTTTATTTTCTTGGGGATAAATCTTTGGTTGCTTGCATTCATCCTGGTTGGTTCCTTTCATTATTGTTGGCTGGTATTTTTGGCACATTTTAGGCTAATAACTTTGTGGATTTGTCCTTTCTTTGACTAGCCAACAGTAATTTTGTTGAGTATTGCGATCCTATTGAATCTCTTGTTTAGGATAAGACTTGTCTTCTATTTTCGTGGCCTGATTTATTCCTCCTAGCCAAATATGTGTATTGAAAAATCTGATTTCCTTTGTGTTTGATTTTTGGGAAAAAACTACTTTTCTTGGGAATTTCAATTCCAAATGTATAGCTAAGGCAAAAATTTATGGGGCCATCTTGATGGATCAAATCCTAAACCTACAGATACTACCAAAGCTGCTGAATGGGAAGTACAGGATGCTCATATCATGAGTTGGGTACTGAGTTCTGTTGACTCCCACATTGTATTAAATCTCCGACCATATAAAACAGCCAAATGTATGTGGGAATATTTGAAACAGGTTTACAACCAAGAGAGTGATGCTCGCAGTTTTCAATTGGAATTTGACATTTCCAACTACACGCAAGGGAGCCATTTCATCCATAGTGCCGGATGAATCATTGTGTGCTATTCAAAAAGTTCATGAAACTAGAAAGGCAGATCAATTCTTGATGAAAATGCGTCCAGATTATGAAAATGTTCAGTCCAGCTTGATGAACCGAGTTCCTTCACCATCTTTGGATACTTGTTTGAACTCCTCCGTGAGGAGCAACGCCACTTTACACAGGCAACCATGGAACAACAAAACACGACCAACAGTCCTCTTAGGGATCTAGACGAGTTCTATGCAGATGTTAGTGGCCTGATTTCATTGACATAAAGAACTCATCTGCCCATCAAATTTTTAATTTTTTTAGTTTGCATTATGTGAAAAGCACCTAGACAAGTTCTATGTTGCATGGCCACTCTGCACGAGTTATGAATCTCTGCCCGACACAGCAGATTCCGGCACTTCATGGGTCCATAATATTAATACCTACTCCCAATGTCGGTTGTGCTAACACACACCGTTGATTACCATCTTGCATGATGCATGAAATTTGAACTATATTTGTTCTTTTTAATATGGTGATATGGCCTCATTCGGAAGCATGGGATTTATGCTTTAAATTGGATTGCATTAGGAGGACACAGCAGTCCGAATTTTGAACTGTTTTGCTCTGAAATTACTAAAAGGCAATGAAATTAATTATTAGCTCATTGTGTCATCTTGATGTGTATGATGCAATAACTATTGTTATTGTGATTTTAATTGTTTTTTCCCTAAAAAGACAGCCCAAAGCATGAGACTTTTTCACTGCAAGGTTTAGAGAATGCCATTTATATGTAGCCTTACCCTGCGTCCGGAAAGACAATTTCCATGACTCAGAGCCATGATGTCTAGATCAGAATTGTGCTCTCCTCCAAAAGCTGACAAATTTTGCCATCAAATGACAATATTGCCCAAGTTAATATACTGTTGTCCCCATAGTAATGAAGTGTTATATAACTGGTGATAATGGCATCCATAGCAGATTCCGACATTCCGTCCCATGTTGATGCAAGGAACGCAGTCATTTCATACCTTTGTGTTCGCTGGTGACTTCCACTAGTATTTGTATTTCGTCGATTGTGAGAATAGATGTATGTCCGATTTCCCTTTAAGCAAACTTCTTTCTAATCATCAACTCGTGTCAGGGGTGTGAAATCAATTGTTTGTTACACTTGTAGGCGTTGCAAGGCAAGGTTTTTGAACTTGAGGAGAGGGGTCACCTTTTGGAAAAGGGGAATGCTGCTGGGAAGTTGAAGTCTCCGGGCTAGCATACTGTTGCTGTTTTAAATTTTTTAAAACTATTGCATATCAAACTTTGAAACATTCTTGCATATTGTGAATACTTCCCTAGAAAATTTTTGTAAACAACAATCTGCATTCAGTTAGCAAAACATCAAGGTTAAACTGATTGCCACCATATGGCCATGATATTTTCATGTACATGTTAAGTATCTGTCTCCTGAATTACTTGTTCCTCTGTATGCTTCGGTTTCATGTGCTTCAAAAACACTTCTGTATCTTACGCAGTCCAGGAAAAGTGTTATTTCCCGGATTATCTGATCTTAGAATTTGCCTTTTCTGTTACAGCCTGACCCTGGCAAAGCAGCATTGAGTATTGGTCTATGTAATGTGAACTTTCTGAATGGTGTTCCACCAAGTGTCTTCAGAGGAGCTTGGACTACCGAATATGCGTCTAAGAAATGGGAGCTGCATTCTACCAAACAAATTGATGATGTGGCCTTAAGCAGTGATGAAAAGAAAACATGGGACGCATGTAAACAAGCTCTGTCTGCATTTAAATTTACCGTTGAGGAGGAAGAGAAAATGCTAGGAAAAGCATTTGGACAGATCCATTCACCTTATTGGGGTGAAGAAAGGAAGAAAGAAGTGCCGAAATATGAAGTTGTAAATGAAATATTGGATTATCTGAGGAGTTTAAGCCTTTCAGATGAAGATCTTCACAAGTTGCTCAAGAAATTTCCTGAAGTTCTTGGATGTAGTCTTGAAGGCGAGTTGAAGACCAATGTCAAGGTTTTGGAGAAGGAATGGGGAATAAAAGGGAAATCTCTACGAAACCTACTCCTTCGAAATCCAAAAGTGTTGGGTTATAACATCGACTGTAAGGGAGATTGTATGGCACAATGCACCCGTTGCTGGGTGCGGTTTTAGCTGTTTATACTTTTTTTGAATAATTTTTTTCCCAGATAGAAAGGGGGCGTTAAATTTGTTATGAAAATGCAATGTATGTTTGAGGAATCAATATGATCCCAATGATCTGGAGATTCTTTCAAGAGTCCTTCAACAGATTGATTACAGTTTAATAGAGTCTTTATACTAAATAGATATACTTTGGCCGTGCAGATTAACTGAAAGCAAAAGTCCATGACCAAAGTGATACGAGAATACCGTTTAGTTGGTATGTTTGAAGAATCAATACGATCCTTACAAGTCTCCTCCTCCAAATGAACTTCAAAGGGATCCTGAGAGGCTATGTCTTCACCCATAGGATAGAGGTGCATTGTGTGGTCACTGTTTTTTGTTAGTAGCAGTATCAAAATGTCAAGTATTCTGTTATGGATTTTTTGTTGGGTATTTATATCAAGAAAGCAGATACATGTAGAAGATAGCTTTTAGAACAAGTTGATAGAAACTACTTGCAAAACAAACTCTATTTATCTAAGGTTTATATTAACATCAAAATTAACTTAAATATGCAGTTCAATAAAATAAATTTAGATAAATAGGCCTATGTCATTGGAACTGAGATAGAATGAGAGATACAAGAGACCTGTAATTTTTTTAGTAAAACAATAGGGTGCCATTTTCTTTTTAAACATATTTGCATGTCTCACACACACACACACACTCACCCATACATATGTATATAAAAGGAGAGGGCCGACATAGAAGGAGAGATATGGGTATGTAGTAATAAGTTGCATATTTTGAATAGAGATAATAATCACATACAAACAACTGCATAGTCATGTTTTAAGGCCTACATCCACGATACGTAAAATTCAAACAATCATGTTTTCATTATTCGGTCTTACTAGTTTTCCATGAATTAAACACCCACTACACTATAATGGGATTTGATTAAGATTACATTGGTCATGGGATTTTATAACTATAATCCCTCCAATCCGGAGATTATTCAACAATGCTGAAAGCATCAGTGATTTTATTCCCTAGATTGCTAGATCATGACAAGAAATGCCAGTAACATACAATCTCTCTCTCTCTCTCCCTCTCTCCCTCTCCCTCTCCCTCTCCATATATTAATACAGTATTTTCAGTAGAATTACTCATGGGCACTTGAGCTTATTTCCATGGGTCCTTAGACTGGCATAGCACGGACAAGCACTCTTGTTGCCGTATGTGCCTGGTGGGACGCAGTTGCATCTTGCGCAACAAGTCTTGCATGCTCGTGTGCACACTTTCTTTCTTGATGCCTTCCTGCACCTCCTTGAGCATGCATAGCTGCAATCTGTATCACCATTTTTAAGAAATATATAGTTACTTGAATTTTATAGTTACCATTGTAATTGAACATAATGTCGTCCATATAGGGTCGGGTTTGGGATGATTTAAAAAAGAAAAGCGTTTCTATAATTAGGGGGGTCAATTTTATTCATTAATATGAATTCAATACGATACAAAACTCGAAAGTGACACGATACGAAAATAATACAATTAAAAGTGACACAATATAAAAATGATACCACACAATTAGATTGAGACCCCTATCTATAACTTGTGACTTTGAATACTAAAAGCAAAAGATTTTTGAAACTACTTATTTAAATTACTTTTGAATAAATCAAAAGTAATTTTACTAATTAAATAAGTTAATTAGTACTAGTAAAAAAAGTTTACTTCCCTAAAATACTTTTACATAAAACACTCTCCATTTTTTTAGTTTTTTCCACCACTGCCATCCAATCACTACCAACACCTGCCATCACCACCACTACTAACCGTCATAACCACCACCCCACCACTGCCGCCATCAGTACTCACCATCAACCCCATTGCCCACCACCCCCCTCCCCCACCTCTACCACCACCATGCATCCCAGTTGCCACTGCCGCCACCCACCACCCGTTGTCGCCACATAAGCATAGGGGTGTTGGTGTGTGCGTTCCGAGATAGATTAGTTATTGTGACATAGATAATTGTTTTTCTTTTATTGACTACTACAACACATTTTTTTATAAAAGAACTTTCTATTTAAGAGCTTTTGATTTGAATATCTGAAACTGTTTTTTTATATAGCAAATTTGAAAGCATTTTCGATTCCCCACAAGCCGCTTAGCGATTCTGATTCCCTTCCCGGTAAAAACCAATTAACTAATTCTGTTTGTGTAATCAGTACAAAAGATAAAAAAGGTGGAAAAGCTGTTTACTTACTAATTTTCTTAGGATGATGTTTTTTGTCAAGAGCCACTTCATCCCCTCCTGCTTCCTCCTGAACCAAAAAGTCACACACCAGAATTAGCACTTACTGGCTTTGTTTCCTTTTTCTTTTTAGACTTAAGTAAATTTTCTTGTCCCTTTCAATAAATAAAGAAGAAATGATCTATTTTATGAAAAAAAGAGAACATGTTGAATTTATTCGTGGATCCAAATGTCATCTAATATACTTTTTGCTTAATTTTACTCAATAATATGTCCACCACCGTACACGTAGCACGTTTTTATAGGATAAAATGATGGAAAAGTAATTTTTGGATCCGGTAATTCTACCCCCAAAGTCCATATGTTTGAGAAAATTTTTAGGGAGTTATATACACCACATGACAATGTCAAATTGTGTATGTACTGTATCATCATCAATAAACTACTGCATATTTTCAATGAATGACTACCACTTAATAATTTTGTCGGAATTTTTTTTCCGGAAAAATCTTACTTGAAAGTCGGACAAACTAGTGTTATGATAATTTCTCGTTGAGTGTGCACACCAAGTGACACCCTTCATGTGGTGTGTATAACTCAGCTCAAAATTTTCTACATATGCTTGCATGAGATAATCCAAATCCTTTTTTTAATCACCATGACAAACAAATCATTATTAGACACTAAATTATACAACCCCTGTTTTGTCCTTGATACTAATTTTGCATTTTAGAAAAAAGGAGAGAAGGAAAAATTACGAACCTTAGTAAGAGAATCTATGGTATTATCAACCGATAATACTTCTGTGAAAGTCTTGAAAATGCAAACAAAAATCAGTTAATTCTTCGATACTTCACTTTCTAACTTATTTTTGAAACTAGAGTTGGTTGAATGAAAGTGTGGTTTAAATACACACTTTTCAATTCAAATGTTTTATTTATAAACACATTTTCACCAAGCAAAACTTAAATCATATTTTGCAAGCACGTTTTAAAAAAATAATAAAAAGATGCGTTTTTGTACTGCGTTTTCATTAAAATAACGGTAATTTGGAAAATAATTAAGAAAGTGCAGTATCATGATACAAGAGCTGCAAAAACACAGTAGAAGCGCAATAAATCCTAGAAATGTACCTGTAGGAGTAGGATGGCGATAAGGAAAAAAGAGAGGAGCCTCATGTTATATGGAGAGAGATATGAACAAGGATTGCTTCTGATTGAAAATGGTTGAACAAGGAAGGTGGGTTTTATAGAAGTGCAGTTGCTCTTTCTTTTTATCTTCTGAAATTCACATGTAAAGACAGCAACAAGTTCACAGGCTGTGAAAATCTTTTGAGCAAAAAGGCTACAAATCTTTTTGGATGCTTTCTACTACTTTAGTTTTAATGCTTCTGCTGTGGCCTGTGCACAGCTGTCGATTCTTTGACTGGTGGATGTGTATGGGGAGAGAGAGAGAGAGAGAGATGGTCCCTTTGCCAGTTGAGCATGATATCTCTTTAGCCACTTTGAATTTGTAAATGAGGAAGCATCCGGGAAGAGAATAAGGCATCAAGCCATGTACCAAGGGAAAAGAACATATAAAGCCTACAATTGTTGTATGTACATGTGTGTTGTATTTATTGCTAAGTTGGCTTTTACAGCTTAATGTCATTTGGACTCTCTCTCTCTCTCTCGTCAAGGGAATTTTCCTTTCGGTAATCCTAGTACTTTGTATCCTCAATGCATAGCCATTTGGGGATCAATTGGTCATTTAAAAAAAAAAGCTAATGAGACCCCTCGAAAGGTCCTTATGCATTTGGGAACCAAAATTTGGATCTCTAACATTGCTTCTACAATTTTCTGTTGTTACTGTATGATGATAGTTAAGAATGTTCACCGAGCTCCAAGTGTTGTTAAGAGTTGGATCCGTCTTCTAGAGCACATGCAAAGGCAAGTCGGAGACCGGTGGGGCTCCGGGGATGGACCCTTCAATGATAAAGTCAAAAAGGGATGTTTAGGAATCAAAGAAAGCTTGCATTAGCGTTTAATTCCCTCACCTCCATCTCCCTCATGGATTCCCCTATTATACGCCATTTGGTTAGGTTGTTTGCGGATCTTGCTCCGCCTATTTGAACTGAATTTGTTGTGCTCCACTTGCTTGATCCAGTTTTGCTAGCTAAGTAGAAGTGATAGTTGAGTTGAACTAGTCAAAGTCCTTATAAGATATGGCTCTACCAAGCTTTCAAGGTTGAGGGATGGCTAATTGCCAAGCTGGAGCTAATTCGAGCTGTCGAGCTCACCTATCCGAGCACGTGTCTTTTTCCCTTTTATCAGTTGCCCCCAGTAAACTCGACGTGACTTGCACTTGGTCCGCATTTAATACTCGTGTGTTAGGTTGGAGTCACATTTTTCAATTCCACTTCTATTGTTTTTGTTCTCTTAAGTGGAATGGTTTTGACCTTGGTTGCCTAAACCTCTTCATTGATCGATTCTATCAGACTCAACATGAGTCCATCTTCGTTTCTTGTGTGTCTCTTCTTTCTCATAGGCCCACTTGTCTCCCTCCTCCTAATTTGTACATTCATCACCACTGCTTTACAACAATGAGTGATTCGGAGCGAACCCTTTTCAGTAACACCCCACTCTTCGTTCCTGAAGCCAATATAGCCAACAAGGAATCTAACTCCATTCTGGAGATGATTTTTCATCCATTATCATTGTGGAGTTGAAGCAATTCTAGAGTTTTCTTGACGAGAAGGCACTAGATGAAATAAGGGAGCTCTACCAGATCCCCCACGTTGTTCGCCTTCGTCTCCCTTCTTCAGAAGAAACAACAGATTCCTTTGGACCCAACGAAGTTTAATTTTACGAGTCAATTTTTTAGAGTGGTCTTCGATTCCCTATGCCACAATATATTAGAAAAGCCCTCCATTATCTAAACCGTACCCCTTCTTAGTTAACTTCGAACAGCTGAGGGTTTCTGGTTGGTCTCGGTGTTTGTTAGGCAAAAGCCAAAGATGTGGGTGCTCACCCTACCATAGCGGAACTTCTCCATTACTACAAGCTCACACCATACTTTGGGCAGAGCAAAGGGTGGAAGGATAAATTCCTCTAATGTGAAGGAATGGAAGGATAAATTCTTCTTCGCATTCAGGCCTAGTTAGGAGTTTGGCCCTTCTGAGGCACTCACTAGAAGGCCATTTTTTGGTCCTCCGCCAGTGGGGATCTCCTCCCCCTACTCTTTGTGATTGCTATTTTCTTTTATTTGATTCTTTCCTTTGCGGATTTGTACTAATGTGTTTGTTTGGCGCAGGAAAATGTAGTGCTCTTCTTGTTGAACTCAAAATTCGCGTAGAGAGAGCTTTGGCTTTCCATACCAAGAGCTTGCCTGACTTAGTGAAAAATCAAGCTTTGTTTGAGTGACAACTAGGTCCTTCCCCTAAGCTACTATTCTGCCTTTTACACCCAGTCCTTTTACCCCAAATGGTAAGCTTCTATTTCGCCTTCTCCTTTTTCCTTAAATTTAAGCTTTAACTTCTATATTTCTACAAAGATGGCTCCCAAAGTTGTTGAAAAAAAAAGCTTCTTAAGCAGATTAAAGCCATTAGAGATCCGAAAAGTGCATAAAAAGCCAAGACTATCCTCTCCAAAGTCGAAGACATCAGTTTTTGGTTCTCCAACGCCTCCTACTTCTCTGCCGAGCTTGAACTTTCCATTTGATACTCTGTTGAGTACATGATTTTGTATGATTTTATGTCTAAAACCAACCATCTTAACTTTGTTTATTAATTATGTATTTCGTTTTAACCGAGTTTGTGGTTTATGAGGAAACCGTGTGGTTGTAGGTAAACAATTTGGACTCATTTTGATGTCATGTTTTGCAAAGGAGTGGAATCGAAGTAGGAGACATTACTGCAAAAATTAAAAAAAAAAGGTTGGTTGAACCATTAGGTGTTCTACCGGTTCATCAAGCTAAAAAATAGCTTCTACCATTATTATTCCTATTTTCTACCGTTTCATCCAAAACAAAAACTTTCTTATCGGTTCATCATTCACGCTTTCTACCAATTCATCAATTTAGAAACTTTCCTACTAGCAGGTCGTAGAAAATTAAATTTGGCATGGTTAATTCTTAGAGTCTCTACAATTAACATGATACCAATTCTTTCATTAATTAGTTTTGTCATCAAAGTACATATTTATTAAATTCTGATTTTAGTTGAATATTCTCCGTCCAAATTAGTTTGATTACAATATTGGATGAGTTATATAGATTATGTCATAATTCTTATTCACATTGGGATAAATTTTGAAGATTATCCGATTTATTCTAATAGTGTTTCTTAGTTTTTATCAATCATCACCATTACTTTTAAGCTAAAAGATTTTATTTTTTTTTAAATTACATCACCTTAAGAATTTGTCTTGGTTTTCCCTAAGGAAACGACCTCAGTATTTTTTGAGTTATTGTATAATATATTTTCTTGCGCTTGGAAAGCAATTTTATATTTACCACTTTTGGGGACAAGCATACTCCTTTAGTACTTCCCTTTGTGTCTCCGAGCTCCAAGGTTACTGAGGACGTACATCTAGACCTTACCAGTGTATACAATGAGGAGCCCCCTATTTCGAGATGGCTTTGTTGCCCGTTGACTCTCCTCCTACTCCTTCCAAAATTAAAGGAAAGGGGAAGCTCTCTAAAATTGAATTTTCTGGAGGAGAGAAACAAGCCCCTAAAGAGTCCAAGCCTTGTAGGAGAACAAAGAGGAGGCCATAATTCATCTTATTCAATTTGTTGATAACAGCGAGATTCAGGCCATCTTTACAATGGGGTCAAACTGGGTGGTGGCTACTCTCTAAGAGACCATTGGGAAGGTGAGACTTCTCTTCCTCTTATTACTTCTCTTAATCTCCACTTATGAGTAGTATGCTTAGTTTCTCTACTCATGTAACTAGTCATCCTTGCCATGAGTGTTTCATTTACAGCCTTGGTTGAGAAGGAGTCTTCTAAGAAGGAATTCCTTTGCTTGGTAGAGAAGATGTTGAAGCTACAAAAGAACTTGGTGGCTTCCCAATAACAGGTTCTTCAATAGTTGATGGAGAAATGAGATATTTAGCTTAGCTTGAACGAGGTAACCAAGGAGAGGAATAGGTTTTTGGACAGCAAGAAAGAGTTAGAGTTGAAACTTGTTGCCTCTGAAAGTTCTGCTTCAGAGCTCTCTTCTTAGGTAAAGAAAGTAGCAAAGGAGAATGAGGCCTTTTCCCTCAAAGTTTTTGAGCTCTTTTCTACCTTGAAGAGAAAGCACTTCAAGCTCTTTGATGCCCTGGAAAAGAAAGAGTTCGAGCTCATCAAGGCTGTCAAAATTGCTACTTATTCGGCTATAAAGGAGTTCAACGACTCTTTTGCATTTAAGAAAGGGATGCTTGGGAATTATGACAGTGGTTTTAAGTACTTTAGGGATCGAGCCATACGTGCATTTCCAGAGCTTGACTTCTCAAAGATCTATCTGAGGATGATCCACCCTCGGTCATCGAGAAGAAATGAGACAAACAAGAAAAGGCCGGTGATGAGGAGACCTGCTCGACTGTTGTGAATCCTAAAGATTAGGCTAAATTTGAGCTTGACGCAGAAGCTCACATGAAGGACTCAATAGAGGAGAGTCTGTTAATAGATTAGGTTTTTCTTTTCTTTTTATGACTATAACTCCCTCCCTCTTTCTTTCTGATCAAGTATTTTTGTTTTTGTAGCAATCTATTTCTCCCTTCTCCTTTCCTTATTGCAAATATTTCTCATGTCTTTATGCTTTTGGAGACCATTTTAAGCTCAATCCGAGCTAGTCGAGGTGCCTAAAGCTACTAATAAACCATTTAGGTTCAATTTGAGCTAGGGGAGGTACCCAAGTCTGTTAATGAACCATTTTAAGTTCAATTCGAGCTAGACGAGGTGCCTTAAGTTATTGATGACCATTTAGGTTCAATCTGAGCTAGGCGAGGTGCCTTAAGCTGCTGATGAACCTTTTAGGTTCAATTCGAGCTAGGCGATGTGCCTTAAATTTCTAATGAAACATTTAGATTCAATCCAAACTAGGCGAGGTGCCTTAGACTGCTAGTGAACCATATAGGTTCAATCCTAGCTAGACGAGGTGCCCTAAGCTGCTAATGAACCATTTATGTTAAATCCGAGCTAGGTGAGGTGCCTTAGGCTACTAATGAACCATTTAGGTTCAATTTGAGCAAGGCGAGGTGCCTTAAACTGCCAATGAACCATTTACGTTCAATCCAAGTTAGGAGAAATGCCATTAGTTGCTAATGAACCATTTAGGTTCAATCTAAGCTAGGCGAGTTGGTTTTCTAGTTGCCTTAACCCAATCAAACAAGGATGGCTGTCCTCCTAATGTGGTACCAAAAAGGTTTTCTGGAACTTACAGTTCTGCTAGTTAAAAATGACATTTATTTGTGCAAGATAAAAACGCTAGAGAGAAAACCTTATTATAATCAGAGGAAAAACATAGTTACTGGTAGAACTTCTTTTAACTTGAATGCCCTTGAGCATATCAAGCCTTAATTGTGTCATCGTCGTCCTGTTTTAACAGATCAAACTCCACTCATCTTGTGCACATGTTCACAAATGAACCTCCATGGAGAAAACCTCAATCTTTCTCGAGAAAAAATTGTATTGTTGGATACATGTAGTCGCCCAAGATGTTTTTTCCATACGTGGGAGGTCAATTGAGTATAGTAGTGGTGGTGGCTACGTGAACAGGTGGAGAGACTGACCAAATATAGGCTACGAATTAACATTTCATGAATGAACTGTTGTAAGAGAAGCTCATATCACAAGTTTGAGACTATTAGTGAACGCTTTTGTGTGAATGACTTCTAAAGTCCATGTCCTCTCTCTCTCAATAAGGAATAACCTCGTAAGATAATTTCCAATCACTTCAAATACAATAATTTATTTTACCAAAATGTTGTCTTCCACTTTTTAGAATGATTGTTTGGTACATTGTATGGGCATTTAGGATAGACATGCAATTTTTTTGAGGCATAATTATCATGAATGGAGGATCAAAGTTTTTGCTCTTACAATTGATGCAAAGACGGAAGGGAAAATCAAATGAATTAGTACTGTCCAATGTCACTGTCGCCTGTCCATTATCACTGTCATTGTCATTGTCATTGTCACTGTCTAGTTCCTTAGAATTTGGACAAGATGACAATGACAATTGTTGTTCTAGGAAGGGGAACTCAATATGAATATTTCCTCATGATTATACACGTGGAGACCAAGACACTATACCTAGAGCGAAGGCAAATAGATTTTTCAATTTTAGCCCAAATTAATTACCAATTAAAAAATATATTCACCACAATTATCTCTTCTCATAAAGATTAAGCAAAGAATGTTAGAACCCTTTTAGTCACCACAACCCAATTTAACCATGACGATTGATTTTAATTAATATTTAATTAATTCACTCTCAATCAATCTCATGGCTATCCCAAATTCCCAATTTCAATGCACAACTATGTACAGCTAAATATTCAATCAATCATTCCAATAAACACATAGTGCGTGTATGTGCTAACAAATGCAAGTGTAAATGATAAACAATAAACAATACAAGGAATTTGTTGATGCAGAAAATCCTCCTCAAAAAAATCGTGGGAACAATTTCAATTCACCAAAGCTTAATTCATTACTCGCTAAGTTAACATACAAGTACTTGAGACTTATACCTTAACCAATACCATGATTAGATGCTCATTTCCTTATTATGTCTCTCTGTTGAAAGTCCCTCTTCAATGTCTAGTGTAGCTTCACTTAGACCTCCCAGCTACACGGTTCATCTAGGCCTCGAACAATTATGAGCATGCCAACAATCCTCAGTATGCACAAACCAATGGATTTGTTAAACCATCAAGATCTTCAACTCCAATTTGTGAGGTTGGGTAAAATCTATAGTGGTAGTCTTTGGATCTTAATGATCTAGGTTGTGGTGGAAACTCTCAAGGTAGAGGAATGTTTTTCTCTCTTAGAAATCTATCTAGAGGCTTAAGAGACTTTTTCTAGATGTGGAAAATGTTTTTCCTATTTATAGGTCCAGAATAAGGGTAGTATTAATAAATAAGATGATTGTCATTGGAATGCAAACAATGTTTCAAACATGACTAAGACAGACACCACTTGAGCGATCATGAGCATCACTCAAGCGAGCTCATAGAGCGAACATTGTGCTGCCTACCATGCCCTTTTCCCATTATCTTCCCTAAGTTATAAAGAGACCACTCTAGCAAAAGCTACGAGTATCCGATCCCTACAAATTTTTTAAACATAAAATCATGCAAAAACTTGTCATTTTAAGCACTAAAGGGTGTTGCTCAATTATTCCAGAGCAAGTTACTGTCATTGGAGTATACACTCTCAAGATCACCAGCAACTCTTGTAATAACCACATGAACTCTCCTAAAAAGGCTAGTCAAGGAGTTAAAAGGGTGTTGCTCAAAGAGGGGTCCGAATCAAAGAATGTTTTCAAAATTTATAAATAGTTTAGAAAATTTTTTCTTTTAAAATCATTTAGGAGTCATAATCATATTGTTTTCAATTCCATTTTCATATTAATCACCTAAGTTAAAATAACTAAGGGCTCATCTTAAGTGTTTAGGTCATTACTTTTATCCTAAGTATGAACGTGCATACAGTGGTTGAATAATGTTGCTTTGATGCTTGATCTACTCCCTTCGATGACATTTTTGAATTTTGAATTTGATAGTATCATGGAATAGGTTGAGATTTTATAATAGACTCCATGAAATTTACCAATTATAAATATGATCTAACAGAAATTCACTATTATTATCTAGTTCCCAGAAATTTGGACATAACGACTTTGGAACCCAATGTTACTATCCATCATTGCCCAATGCTATCTCTTCAGGTTAAATTTGGACAGTGAAATTTCTATGTCATTGTCACTATCACTGTCCATTTTGTAATCTCGCCAATTGTATCATTAACGACAAATTAGTTTTTATGACTTCAGTTGTTCTTTAAGACTCAAAAAAACGCTTGTTGAACTTCTAGACAAAAAAGTTTCTTAGATTGGACCGGCCACAAAAAAAACCAAGTTTTAATTCCATCAATTTCTTCAATTTAGTTTAATAATGATCCCTTGCACTAACTTGCCTTTTAAATTATGAATGGAAAATATCATTTGTCAAACACGTGATGAGTATGAGTAATGTGCTACAATGACTAAAAAAATGACAAAAAAAGAATTAAATGATATGACATTGTCATAATGATGTTGTTGATTTTAGTTTTTATACATATGAAATTCAAATTTATCTCATTATGGTAATATCATATCACATGGTCCATATTTTTGGTGTGCAAAATAAAAGGTACAAATGTAATATAATTTATAAATTTTACTATCTTATAAAGCATATAAATTCTGGCTGAAATGCAGTCTATTGGCTTCCCTCCCATTTTCTAATTATTACTAATCACCCAATCAACCACAGTCATATAGACATTACCAAATAATCCACTTACCCACTGTCCCATTACCTACGTCTCTCTCTCTCTCTCTCTCTCTCTCTCTCTCTCACTGTACTCCATTTCATCATTTTCTTCCCGAATTCTTTTTTGTTGCGTTTATTGTTTTTTGCTTACTTTGGTATATTTCTATGGGGGTTCCATTGCTTTTTTTTTTTTTTTCCCACAGTGCATGGTGCTCCCATGCAAGCCACAAGCTTCATTGGGTATACAAAAAATATGGGGTTCCATCTCTTTCTAATTTTTGGGTTTCATCTGTATGTGCCAAAGTTTTTTCTAACCCATAATTCATAAATGACATGTTGATGATGGCATTCCATTGTGGATAAGAACATGGTGTTATTCATACATTTAAAACTTCAGATATGTCTCTTTTTGAGAGTTAGGTCATGTGTACATATGCATTTGTGAGCCCATCTCTCTCTTTCTCTCTCTCTCTCACACACACACACACGTGTGTGTGTGTATTTTTTTTTGCTAAATTTGAAGTGCAAAGGTGCATTGATTCAACAAAATGTGTTGGTCATGCATTCAAAAGTCTTACATTAGTAGCTGTCATGCCACTGTTTTATTTGTAGGCTTGGATTTGTTTATTGGGTTATTCTTGGAGCCTTCACTTCTTTGTGGTTTTGCTGTAATACATTTAAGTCTTTAGTTTCATTAATGTTCCTTCATGAAATAATTTTTTGGATAAATTTAACTAACACTTCCTCGAAATTGGCCTAATTATAGGGACACTTTCTATAATTTATAAAATGTCACTGCTTACCCTTCTAGTTTATCACAAGTTTCACTCAATACCCATACAGTCACTACCGTTATTGACATGTAACAGAATAACGCATGCCAGGGTGTTTTTGCAGTGAAATACCAAACTTATCCTCAAGTTGGCTCTTCAATTTTTTTTAATCAACTTGACATTTAATTTCATTAATTTAAATATTAATTCACCATACTAACATTAATTTCATCAATTTAATGCTAAATTAATATTTAATTTCATCAAATTCATATTCAATTTCATCAAATTAAAATTTGGTATTTGAATTAATGAAATTAAATTTTAATTTGGTGTTTTATTGATGAAATTAGTGTTAGTGTAATGAAATTAATATTTAAATCAATGAAATTAAATTTGTTAATTTGAGAAAATTGAATATGAATTTGATGAAATTAAATATTAATTTAGTGTTAAATTGACGAAATTAGTGTTAGTGTGATAAAATTAATATTTGAATTAATAAAATTAAATTTCAATATGATGTTAATTTGATGAAACTAAATTCTAAATTAAATAAATTGAATGTTAATTTGATGAAATTAATTAATTTGGTATTTAATTGATGAAATTAGTGTTAGTGTGATAAAATTAATAAAATTAGATCTCAATTTGATGAAATTAAAGTTCAATTTGATGAAATTAAATTAGGGTGTGTGTAGGGGAATTGAGAAACCATAGGTGGTTAAAGGATAAACAATAGGGTTGAAGCCTTGAAGAATAATTTAGTAAAATTACAATATATGTTTAGTCTATTAACCAACATGATCTGACATGAGGTAATAGTGATATTTTAAAAACTATAATGGGTGTCCCTGTAATTAAGTCAATCTCAAGAGAGTGTCAATAAAATTTACCCAATTTTTTTTTTTTTTTTTTCACATACGTAGCATATCTGTTTCTCTCCACCACTTATATGTAATCATTCACACCCAATTTTTCTATTATTGTTTATGTTTTATTCTCTTCTCAGTCTCACTTGCTGCCTGTTTGCATGAACTAAGTTGTTTTCAATTACCAATATTGAAAACTGGTGGCATTTAATCTGCACATAATTAATTATTTCACTAATTTATTATGTTCAGTTATCATCTATTGTGATGCTTATAAAGAAAGTGATATGATAAAAATTTTTGAACTTTTTATAGGATGAAATATTGCCTACCATATAAGGGGGAATTCTTTGCTTCTCTTTTCTTTTTTTATTTACTTTTTTTTTTTTTTTTTTCATATGAATGAAATTTCATTACTATGTTGACAAAATTATCTGTATTGCTTATATAGGAATTATGGTATTTCATATTTCTACTCGATATTTTATAATTTTATTTTATTTTTGATTACCCTACCCGATCAAGTGTATTATTCCTACCCGAATTCCATCTAAAATAATCTAGTATGAAGTCAAAAATATCAATAAAACATCAGAGTTTCTATTTTTTTGGATATATATATATATATACAGATAAGGTAAAGTAGAAATACAGAAATTTTATATGTATTTTATATTTCTACTCGATTTTTGTAAAATATCAAAAAAAATTTCTTTTGCTTACTTAATTCTTTTGAGTAGTTGATCAATAAGGTTAAATCGGATAGGACACGATTAAAATTTGCGGATAGTCAAAAATTTAAATTCTTTACTTATAACTTGAGAATGCCACGTACAATTGTAACATTACCGTCAACATTCACCACTACACTTGAGGTACGGTTACCTCACTGTTTTTTTTTTTTTTTTTTTTTTTGCTTTATCTACTAGTAATGATGCCGAAGTGCACTCTCTCAGTTTTTTTAAAGGCATAACTTTTAGGTAATTCTACAATACCTAAAAAAAATTTAGTACTTTATTGAAAGATATTATTTTTTGAGGTCAAATTATATATTTTAAAGGTAAAATTCCAATTGTTGGAGATAATTTTATGATTGTTCATGAAATATTATGATTAATCATAAATACCCCTTGATTAGATGAAATTTTACATTTAAAAAGTATAATTTGACCTAAAAAAAATGTAACTTTATCTTTAAAAATTGTGGCTTCTATCACTTTTTTAATTGTAATTTCTACCTCAAAAAGATGTAATTTGACTTCAAAAATTATAAATTTCGGTGCGATATCAAAACCAATACCATAGTCTTCCCTTACTTTTAGAGACGTTTGATGATTTTTATTTATAGTTGGATTTCAATGCTAGATGTGTATATATATACATATATATGCATCATATTTTTTACTTTATTACTAGCTTTGCTAAACTATTTTTATTTTAATTCATTATTCTAAATTCATCTTATAAGACATCCTAACATTTAAAATATTACATCTACATTTCTTAAGAATTTATATATGACTAAAAATATTTTCCTAATTGATTATTCAAATAATTTTATTTAAGTAATGTATTGTATTAGATAAAAAGAACATTATATAAATACTTGTATTATATTGAACATTCAAATGATAATTTGATATTAAACTTTAGAGTATAACGGACCCATAAATAAAGGGTAACATGAAATTATAATTTTTATTAGGATGAAATCATATTTTTTAACGGTTATATAAATAAATATCAATGACAAAGGGTTATGTGTTACGCGTTCATAAACATAAGGTGTAGGAGTAATATTCTAAATATGAGAAGTTCAAATAATTAAGTGACAAGTATAAGAGGATTTAAGTGTAATTTAATACAAATTGCTATCATTGTGAATGTAAATTGAAAATTTTAATTTTTTATGGGTACAAATTAAAATTCAAACTTAAAATTTACAATTAACCCTAAATATAACAATATAATTTCATAGACAACTAGACAAGTCTCTCCGACATCTCTCCGTCTCCGGGCTCTCCCTCTCCCTCTCTCAACTTACACACCACCCCCACGCGCTTCTCTGTTTTTCTCCCCTAGTCCCTTTCCTACACCCCCCCCCCCACCACC